AGCTTTGAATAAATTATTTTCCTAATCAAGCTGGCAAGAAAAATGAATACAAACTCCATAACAGATAAACCGTTTTGCCTGTCCATCATGGCGAACCCCTTTCATACTTTTTGCTTTGAAATATAATAGCAACTGGCTCATCTCTGTTCAAGTATATGAGTAAATTCTTTTAACTAGGTTCTTGATAAAAACCAAAGAAGAATCTGAAATGTTATTGGTCCTGAACTGGCATCTCGGCTTCAATCACTTTCCCGTAATGTAGCTCCCCCGTGCCTTTTCTATAAATACTTTCATGGTAGTTGTTCTGATGAACTTTAAACTATGGTACACAGACTTTATGAATTTAAGCGCAGTACTAGATTGGCAATAAGGTCTCATTATTTTGTGACACTGAGATTGTGAGGTAGTTAAATATTAATTCTAAACAGAAAGACGGTTAAGCCCAAAATGAAATATAAACTGGAAGATAGAAAGAGAGAATGGAAGACATCTTTCCCTAGTAATGTGGAAGTGAAAAAAGGGACATCTGGGTTGCCTCACCGCTACGAATTGGAACGATGCACCAAGAGTTTACTTATTTTATCTATCGAAAATCTGGCATGTGGGTACAGCAAATTGGGAAATGGCTTTATCTCTTTCTTGGGAAATTAGAAAAAACACATGTCATTCTCGAAAAGAGGAGCAGATGGGAATTATATTTTCGTTAGCGAAAACGAATTGAGAAATAAAAACAGAATGAACCTGCAGCTGACTTTAGGGGTCTCAGAGACTTTGGGCTGAGAACCCGCATCGAGTGCCTTTGAAATTCACGTCAGCTGCCATCAGATTTCCTGATTCCAAGACTTTGGACCCAACTCCTCCAGAAGTTTAAACAAGACCCAGTGTCATTATAGAGATTGATGCGGGAAGGGTTAATTTTTGTTGTACCAAGAGTTATATAAATAAACCACTTGAAGAGTAACCCCCTAAATCTTTCGTTTTATTTTTTCCTCGTGAAGATATTTTTCTTCTTTAATGTAGCACTCGCCACGGCTTGAACCGGCGCTGCCATTACGATCACATTCAATCCACTGCTCTGAGATCAAGAACACAGCGTGGACAGAGTTGGTGTGGATCGAAGCGCCCAGCGATCAACAACCAGCTTAGACCATCGTCAGCATTGATCAGCGCAGAGTTAGCCCCGTGGTTAAAACGTCGTCCTAAGACCATGAGGACCGGACTACTAAACGTGTAAACACGTTTACTACTCCGGTCTTTAGTAGTAGTTTAGATAGCGGCCAAAAGGCGTTATATTAATTGGTTACCATGACCAAGGATGTGACCCTGTTAGCAGGTAATGTTATATATTTACAGTTGAATTGACTAGATATATCCTTAAGTTCTGCTGATATTTTCTTTTCTCACACTTCTCTCCTGTGGCACTCTTTTCCGGTTACTTACTTTCCAGCCAACTTTAAAAAATTTAAATGCGTGGTCAATCGTTATCTACTTTCTTTTTGATTCGTCTTTTATTGTTCTCGCTCCGTAATAATTCTGTCTTTTTCTTATTTTTTCACACTCTGTAACCTATTTATGGCTTTATTGCCTTGCTTGGGTTTAAATGACTAAAAAACTGTTTAGAGTAAGAAGGCACTGGTAATTTCAGTAGAGACACAAAGTAAGACGGGATAAGAAGTAATACGCGGAATTAGGGGTGAAATTATTATTTCACACCGCAATGAGCTCTTGTGTTATTTTCTCTTAAGTGTTGCTGTCCTTTTCTCGCCTCATTGCTTGGATATCAACAATAAATAAACGAAGAGAACAGAATATCCAAAATCGATGCATGTAAGAAGAATTTTACTTATTTTGTAGATTGTGTATTATAGTAAGACGGTTTTATCACTTGTTTGCATTTGTACTGTTTGTAAATTTTATTTTTATATTTGTTAAAGTTAAATAAAGTCGGATTTGAAACGTAAATCAGGTACCGGAGTGGTTTTCATTGTCCTAATTTTAGTTGTTACAATTTATCCCAATGTGCCCCAATGTTTGTTACTTTCCCCGCCTCCGATGGGATAAAAAGTAACATTTTGCAATTTTCATTTTTTTCACGTTCGTCGTTAAGTCTTTAAATTGAAATGACTTCCAGAATAGCTCCTCATCATAATGTTCACTTAGCTCTAATGTTTATGTACAGCTTAAATAACCGTGTTTGTCTTTAATTCTATGGTCGGTATGGTCATTTGAAAAAGGATGTTATCCTACTTCTGTGATTTTTTTTAAAGATTTAAAGTCAGTATTTAATTTTGAACATTCATAATTTTTGCTGAAAAAACGTTTCTATTCATTCTTTTAGGAATGCCAAACGTTTTACAAACAAGAAAAATCAATTTTTACCATTTAAGTTATTTTCTTTCACTGAAAAAAAAAAAGAGGCTTATGGAGGTGTTTCGTTTCAACGGGCTTAAAATTGGTTCCCGGGATTTTCTATTTAGCTCTGATGTCCGAACATACACACGCACATAAACTCCCGCATAGAATGACTGATTTGTGTTTCAGGTAATCCAGACACATGCGATGTAGAATACTGCTAAGTGTCAAACAGAACGTCGACGCAATTTTGTGTTCAAGGTTTTTAATAAAACTAAAAGATAACGTGGCATATAATAAAAAAGGGATATGGAAAGTTAGGGATGCAGAGAGTTGTTTTTCATACCACATCAAGTAACATTTATTACATTTTTACCTCATATCGATCTCACACATTAATCATTCTTATGTAACACTCGCAATGAAACTGCTATTTATTTAAAAATCCTTCCCATTATTTTATTTTTACGTATAATATTGAAATTGGTGAAGTGTTGTTTTAAAAAGGTTATCTACAAATTATTATCAAAGATCCTTTCCTTCAATTTGCAATCTTATAGCAGCTAACTACCGTTTAATTGATAGAAAATAAACGTGGAAGCTAATTGTCCGAAAGAAAAACTCAATACAGTGGATTTGTAATCTTTCCACCAGAACCTGTATGAAAACTCACATTGCTTTCTACCAAGCCGGCTGTATGTGTGTGGGGATGCGTAAAGGAAAAAGGACAGAAAAAAAAAAAATTAAACCGACAATTATCCACGCCCCTTAGCAACGAACTCCACTGAATTAGACCCGCAAAAAAAAAAAAGCAAATGTACATTTTATTCACGGATGTAGAGACATATCACGTGACTTATGCCTCCCATTTTTCAGCCAATCAGGAGCTGTATCACTGTTCAAGGCACTGAACAAGACTGCATTTAATAATCCGATATATACAAAAAAAAAGATTCACAAGACGATAAATAAACCCCGCTATCATCAAGCGTACAATTTACGTTAAACGAGCAGATTCAAAACTGCCGCCGATAAAATCAAGATTTGGATAAACGGAACATAATTTTAAAACAAAATACCTTATTGTGAATTTATAATTTATTGTGGAAAGAATCAATAGCTCGTAGCCCCAGCAGGTTGATTGTATTTATTTTTGTATATAAATTCACTGGACACTCACCATCGCCTGACAACTAAAAATCTAATCGAAATTGAGATTATTGCATGTTTTGAAACGTTTTTTATTATTTTATTTATTCATTTTTAGCGACAGCTGCTCATTTTTTCGTAATGCAAAAAATTACTAGATTAGAGTAGATGATTATTTTATACACATGTGGCTGCTGAAAAGTTCTCGTCCGGACCTTCTTAGCAAAGTGTGACCAAATATCAAATTTTTTGTAAGAGTTTCTAGAGTTAGATGGTTACTTAGCAGCCCGTACACAGAATGGAGCAGTAATCTTTAGCGCCTTGGGACGAGAAATCGATGGGCCGATTCCGTTACATTCACTTTTTGGGGCAAATAACCTTGGGCAAGGCATGAATCTATGTCTTCCTCATCCACCCCACCACCAATAGAAAGAGTCCAGATAAATAGTAGGGCAGACTAGGCTTTTCAGCCTTGGTTAGCAACAACTCTGAAGTCAAAACCGATTGGGTATGGGAATAAGTCCATCCCATGAAAAGCCTACTTGTTATGGAAACATTTTCTGTTAAATCAGATTCACATATCCAGGTGTTTAACTGTTTTCATATGCCATACAGAGCTCATATGCGAAACGTTTTCGTTTTTTTTTTAATTCTCGCTCGTTGTAATTGATTTCAAGTCTTCACAGAATTCCTTTGGGCAAAGCAGTTGTAATAAGGGAAGTGAAAACTAGAAATGCGTGGAACTGAAAAATAAATATAAGGACAAATGGGCATGCATTCAAACTAACTTTAACAAAAAATAAATCTATTCTAACTTCTGAGCTGGGTTGACAAGTCTTTCTCAAACGAAAAATTCGTAACCAGTCACTTCAAGATGTCACTTGAAGTTAGCTTCATTCACATAATACATTCGAAAGTATAAAATTATGTACATTGCACAATATCTGTAGTTTAACGTACAAAATGCGTTTAAAATATTTAGATTTCGGTCGGCATTTGATATGCCGCTAAACAAAAACATCCAAACCAAAGAACATAATGGTACCAAAAAAAAAAAGATAAAGAGTCTCTTTTCTTTCAACCTGCAATTGGTTTATGACCATGGTCAAAATATTTAATTTTTTCAACGTTTCTTAGATTTCCTCTACTACTGTTATGCGATCCTTGCATCCCATCCAACAGTTTCAATCACCACGAGGCGAGAAATGTTAGCTTAAATGGATGTCGAAATCAGACGAAATCAGTAAAGCACAAAATTTCTCACCTGATGCCTTGGTTTGTAGGTGAACGTCCAGCTTCATATTATATCAGGCATCAACATCATTTCTCAAAGTTGGTTATTTCAATTGGTAAGGATTCGGATATACCATTCGTTGAAACTTAACGGAATCTCAAAGTCGTTAGTAAGCAAACTTGTATTGCAGAGTTCGATCCTCACTGAGAACATACATATGGCCTTGAGCCGGACTAAACCTGATATTTACTAATACCAATTGGGCTTACGGCAATACCACGTTGCGGTTGAAACTACCGGTTTCAGTACGATCACCGAAGTTAAGCGACGTCGAGCCTGGTCAGTATCTAGATGGGAGACCACTTAGCATACCAGGAGTTGTATGTATGTATGTGCAGGTGGTATAAAAGGTTTATGGTAATATCACGTTGAAACTACCGGTTTCAGTTAATCACTAAACTTTATCCACGTCGAGCCTGGTCAATACCTAGATGGGTGACTCTTTGGGATACCAGGTACTGGTAAGTGAGGATGGTGTAATGGATAATGGCTCGGAATTGTTAATTGGAAAGCCGAGTTCCAATTCCCGTTTGTTTTGTCATATTCACTTGGGTAGGTGTAAATCCACCTCTTCTTCCTCCAGCTATGGGTTAATTAGTAATTATTCCTAAATCATTAATTATTATCTCCCCCCCCAAAAAAAAAATATTGGAATCTAAAAATTCTTGCTTTAAATAACCTACAAAGCCGTAAAAAACGAATCAATCAATAAAAAGAAACATTTTTCTTGGTTTTGATAAAATTAACTGACATGTCTGTCATATTCAGGATTGAGAATAAATAGTGAAGGCACTCTCACATTTTTTTAAAACAGCCGGAAGAAAAAGCTTAACCAGCATTCAAAAAGATGACTAGGATCAAAGTATAGTATCTGTTCCGACAGCCGGCCCACGGCTCCAGTCATCAGCAGCAGTTGCAGCCAGACATCATCATCTGCAGCTCCAGCCATATCCAGCTCCCGCCACTCCAGCAGACCTCCAACACCAGCCACCCTCACCCGCAGCAACGATATGTCCTTTTCAGGAAAGCACTTTTCATCGACTACCTAAACTGTCTTCAGGACAACACTCTTCTCGCCCTCTACATGCAGAGATATTTTTTGCCTAGTGCACTGTAACCTTATTTTTTTTGTTGATGTATTTTTTTTTAACGAAAATAAACCTGGCAATACATTTTTTTTTACGTCTTCATTTTGTTTGTTGTTGTCTTCCGTCATCTGTTTGCGGACCAATATACCACCCACAGAAGCTGTGTTTCCGCATTGACGGAAGTGGGGACAGCACCTCGAACCCTATGGATATCAAAAAAGATAGCTAAAAAAAAACAACCTTTTTTGTGCGTATCTTAATATAACACTAACTAAAAGTAAAAGTAAGTTTTATTGCTGTAATATTTGTAGTTAAATTTATATTTTCTTTTTAAAGTTAAAAGGAAGAACCTTTTATTTACGTGTTTTTTTTTCGTTTTTCATTAACAAAAAAAAAAAAAATAATCGTAAATCTAAGTCTTTAAAAAGACTTTAAAATCTGGGCGCCTTTGACAAAAAAATATTTCAATTTGTTTATAAGAGTGAAAATATGACGGAGTAGAAAAATCTTAGTTTAAAAACTTATTAGAATGAGAAACAATTGTGTACGTTTTAAAACAATATGTCATAACCTTTCAATACGTAGGCGATCATGGCTCTCCACAAATTCCCTTTCTTTATTATCTGTGAAAATTGCCATACCTGTTTTAAAAGACAGCCTTGTAGTTTCAAGGTTTGGCATCCCCACGGTTTTGAATTCAGAGTTGTCTATCGAGATTAGGTGATACAGCTATTTTTAACCCTTAGCTGCCAGGAGTAGGGAAGAAGAAATGGGTTCAAGATTTTTCCCGAGGGAATTAGTGCGAAATTGAACGCAATAGATTAACCTGGAGTTGTCTACTCCAGTTTCTGTTGCGTTGATTTTCGTCGATTTCACATTTTTTGTATCGATAGCCGTTACGCTACATAGGCATTTCACGGATGAAATTTTATAAATCAAAAATTCAAATAAAAATTAATGAAACTTATGGTATTTTTTTAATTTTCGATTTTAATGATAATTTACATATATATGATATAAATATATTTTATGCTATATTTATGGGTAAAAATGCTCAATATTAAAGAGAGCGTTATGTAAATAATAAAAGTGGACACTGAGGTCAACGCCGAGCAATGACAGTCTGTTTCCTATTTAAACGCAATCTTCTGATGATCTGAAGATTGCCTTCAAGCATGAAACAGACTGTCGCCGCTTGGTGTTGACCTCAGTGTCTATTTATATGTATGGGAGATGATTTATAGATTTTTATACCAAAAAAAAAAAAACGATAGTGCGTAAAAAGTGCTTTAATCACTTATCCACAGTAAATTTGTGTCAAGGTTCTTACAGTTCATACTTATTGGCAGATCTTCTATTATCACAATGTTGGATATTTAATAAAAGTTAAAAACATGAACAAATGAAACAAAAGAAAATTTGGCTAGACTATATATCCGCCAAAGAAAAGAAAAAGAATTAAGTGGTTAGTTACATCAATGGAAACATCACTTTTTTAGTAATCCTAAATATTAGATATTTTCCTAATAGCTAAATTCTATTTCATTCATTATCAAAAGGTTTTAGAATGCCTTTTTTTTTTTTAAACAGGTACGAAATGTACACTAACACATATAACTTTGAATGTTTATTTACAAAAAATGTTTCTTTAAGACTTTTTCTCATTTTTATTAATAAAATAACAGCTCAAAGTATGAACTAAAAATTAAATTAGGTTGTTGTGGTAAAATTTTTTAAAAATTGTTTTTGTTTAGCGGCATATCAACCTCTATGATTTTTAATTTCATGCCGAAATCTAATTTTGTAGATAATTTTACTTTCATCCTCAGGGTAAACGTATGTTAAAAAATGTTTTAAAATTCTTCGGGGATTTATATTTAAATTTTTACATGATAAATAAATCCTTGAAGAATTTAAAAAGATTTTTTAAAGTAGAAATTTAATTAAAATAAATAAATAAATAAAACTGTTACTTAAAAAAAAAAAATCCACGTATTTAGATTGGAAAATAGCATTAAGTTTTTTAAAACAATGTCTAAAAACAGACATTTTTCAATTTTTTTCATCCTTACATTACAATATAGAATGCAGATTATGCAATTCCGTAAATGCGTCATTTAAAACATTGGGGGAAAATTTTATGAATAAATTATTATTTCTATTCTATTCTTTTTTCACAAGAAATGATGAATATTCGTTTAAAATTTGCCATAAGATATAACACGTTGAAATGTATTGTAACATGATTTGTAAGTAAATCATCCTGGGTTACCAATGCCCAAATTTTAGGCTACATTTTGTTCTGTAATTTAAATACTATATAAATACTGAGAACGTAATTTTTTGGTGTTTGTGTCACAGAAAAATAATTGCGACATTATGTAAAATGACAAATTAATAAAAAAAAAAACGGACGTCTTTCACTAATTTCTTGTTCTTGTACAGTATCTTTTGTGTTTTTATGCAAAAATAAATATTGAGTCGCCAAGAATATATTCAGTCTGGTTCTCAAAAACAGGACTTACTAGTTTGAATTTTAGCGCTCAACGTAAATTCCTACTTTCTCGTACTATTTTTATGAATCAGTTTTTATTATTGGTATGAAAAACTCTTTGTCCTTTGCTGTTACTGCAGCTATGAACAAAAAGACAGTTTCTAATTGGTTAGAAAACAAGCGGTGTCAGTCACGTGGTATGTTTCCTACTACGTCCGTACATTTGAATGTGAAATCATATAAATAGCGCCGGTTAGCGTGTGTGCTTCTATCAAATCTCATTGTGTTTGAGTTACTTGTGTCACGCACTCAAGCGAAATCATGTCTGGTCGCGGCAAAGGAGGAAAAGGTTTGGGAAAAGGAGGCGCTAAGCGTCATCGTAAAGTATTGCGTGATAACATCCAAGGTATCACGAAACCCGCTATCCGCCGTTTGGCCCGCAGAGGTGGTGTGAAGCGTATCTCCGGTCTAATCTATGAAGAAACCCGTGGTGTCCTTAAAGTTTTCTTGGAGAACGTAATTCGTGATGCTGTAACCTACACTGAGCACGCCAAGAGGAAAACTGTCACCGCCATGGACGTTGTCTATGCACTGAAGAGACAAGGCAGAACCCTCTACGGTTTCGGAGGTTAAAAAGCTTTGCTTTTCGTTCGGACATAATTAACGAACAACGGCCCTTTTAAGGGCCACAACAATATTCAGAAAGTTCACTCACCAAATTCATTTCTCGTTTTTTTTTTTTTTTTATGCTTTCTGTTCAGTGGAAGCGCGTTTTTTGTGTAGAAAAAAACCTTTCAACTTTAAATCCCTTTGTACATCTGAAACTTTTTCATAAACTTGTAAAATGAACCTTCGGATTTTATGTAAATTTAATGTTCGACTAAAATAATTCGTATTCAATGAATCCACTTTCTTTTCTTGATTTAAAAGGCGAACGTGACTAAATCGAATGTATAACAATACGTTTTTAATAATCACTGCAATGTGTATCTAGATTTTGCAAGTACTAGACTGACACAATGAAGATAATTTAACTTCACACTCTCTCGCTTCGTTTACTTTCCATTATAAAATACTCCATTTCCCTACATTCGTACGTATCAACAAGGACTTTTTCTCTCTGCATGATCAACTTCACAATTTTATCCTTGTACCAAAGTACACTTTTGAATGCTGTAAAGACTTGTATTTTAATTTTCAGCTTGTATAATTTTACATGGTAGATTTTCTTTGCCTTTCTTTACTAAAGGCAAATCTAACCTTCGCCACTTTGGTTATACAATAACTATTTTTATGTACCGGTGACGTTGCCTTTATTCCCACTATCTCTACGTGAAAGCACAAATCTACTACCGGTTTATTTGTAAGATAAATCTACACCCGGCAAGAAAATTTGAGGCCCTACCATTCTTCAAATTTTACTATTTGAAAGGTGACTGATAACAGCGACCTTAGCCTCTCTTCCAAGCAGTGCTTGTTTGTTAGACTGTTTTGCACTTAGTGAGTGCTTCCTTTATCTGGCCGGAAACTGCTTGGAAATTTAACTGAATTTTCCACAAGATATAATTAACTGCCGAGCTAGCCAACTGAGCAGCTAGAGTACATTGTTTTTTTTTTTTTTTTTCTACTCAAAACTGCCATCGTCATACAAAGTATTCAGAATTTTTTTCTGTAAAATGATTTTTGCTTAATCCTTTTTAAATTCATCTCTTATGGGCCATTGTCCTCCTTACCATGGTAAC